GTTAATAGGCAATATTGAAAAAATTATTTCTCCACAATTGTCAAATCAAGTTGTGCCAAATTTTCTATTACTTATTGGATGTTACCCAAGCTATAAAATGATTATTCTCAAAATGGGAAACATTTGAGGATCATCAAGATAATTGCACAGTGTCAAAACTTTTTGAACCCCTCACGTATAAATATATAAATTAATATATTTTTTATTAGATAATCAAGCAAAAATCTGTTGAAATTAAACAACTACAAGCATCTATATCTACAGAAATGAGTAATTTAATATAGTGCCGATCATCTAAAGACATCACAAAATGTTGGCAATCTTTAAATGCTGATACTTTATTAAATATGGGCCATTTTACCAAAAACTCTCTATTTTTGCAATCTTTTTGACATGAGAAATAATGTAATAGAAAGTTTTTTTTGAGTTATTTAGTAAAACAAAAAGTTATAATGGCTTAAAGTTGGGCAACTTTACTATGTTATTTGAAATTTCGGCAACCGTCTAAACCACGATTTACCGATTATTTTCACGATTTACCGATGATTCACGTGACAAAGTCGCGAATCTTTTACAAATTGGGATTTATTTTTATATATTGAGTTCTTTATAAAGCAAGATCGGCACAAAAAAATTTCGGCAGTGGCGCAGTACGTGATGTCTTTAGATGATTCGCACCATAGAAAATGTGTAAGAAAATGTAGTTAATAATCAGATAGATATTAAATTAAATCCAATCCTTCAAGAGTTAATACAAATTCTGTGCAACAACAAAAATAAATTGTAATATTTAAAATTGTATTCTAATTTTAATTTGTAAATTTGATTTTAATAAATGTTCAATAATTTTATATGTATAATGTCGGCTCATTTGTTGAGCCATAATACAATTAAGTCAATAATGCATATGCCTTCAATTTCAACCTTAAAAAGTTATATGAACGTTAATGAAGCAAAAACTGGATGGCATGATGAAATTGGAGAACAGTTTTTATATCTCTATAAAATTTGTGGTCATGAATGTATAGGATTTTTTCACATGACTTTTTTAAAATACAAAAAGGTAAATATTAAGATAATAATAACTAGATATACAAGCAATGCTAATATTTTTTTACAGGTCTAGTTAATATATTAAAAACTGGCTATTTTTAAAATTATCCAATTAAAAAAATTTAATCCATTGAATCAAAGAGAATCACTTAACTATTTGCACAAAAATTGGAGGACTATATACAGTTAGAAGTTACATGAAAATTTTTGATGAGTATGGGGACACGTACCATATATTTTTTGTAAAATTTCTATTTTATATATTTCTATTTTATATATTTCTATTTCTTTTTCTTTTTATTATCTGAACCCTAACCTCCTACATGCAAAAGAAATCCAAGCACCCCATTTCCAAAAAAAGAAAGTAATCCAGATGGCACTATAGTACGCAGTAAATATTCTGTTTCTGTTAGTGATAGTGAAGAAGTGCTAGAAACTAAACAAATTAATAAACCTGGTTCAATCACACAAATTATTCCGTTTGATGAAGGTTATAAAGCACATAAAAGAAAAGAGAGGCAAAAGGCTTGGGAATGCTTTAAAGCTCATGCTGAACTAGGAAACCCAGCAGCTAAACATTGGAAAGCATATTATATGCATGAGGGGTATTGTGGCCCCCCAGATAAAGAGAATGCAATTAAATTATATAAAGAAGCTGCTGATGAAGGAAATAGGGACAGTCAACTTCATTATGCATTTTCTTTGATGAATAGTAAGGCTGGTAATTTTGATAAGGAATTATTTATCAAGTATATGACATTGTCTGCTGATAATGGAAATGTAGCAGCTGAATTTAATTTGGGTGATCTGTATTATTATGGAAAACTTGGAGTTCCTAAAGATGAAAAAAGAGGAATTAAATTTTTGAAATTAGCTGCCTTGCACAAACACCCAAAAGCAATTGAACTATTAAAAAAATTGGAAATTGATGTTTATAAAAGTTGAAAATTTACATTTAGTATTTATTTATTTATTTATTTAT